ACAATATAACAAACATATTAATATATTTTTTTACAACCAGTATAATGAAAGAACATGTTATTCTAATGTCATTTACTCCATCGTTGTCTCCATCGCTGAAGTATGTTTAGCCATTTCTTCTGACTGCACCTGAAACCCTTACCGCTCCCTGGGCCGTCCCGCCTCCCCACAAATTTTATCGACAAAGCCCAGCGCCCTCATATGGACAGTAGCTCGCCTTCATTAGGAAACATTTGTCCAGCCACTGCGCTTTTGCGGCTCTTATGTCATTGCCACAAGAAAAGGACAGCCACTGTCCAAGCCTCAAGTATGAAGGTAGATCTCTTCTTTGCGTTCATTGGCTATAAACTCCTACAGAAAGTTATGGTTGCTCGTCTACTTCTAGACGTTAGTGTTGTTCCAGAATGTGAGTTTTGCATGCATATCTGTTATTTTTTTAAAGATCTGGCTTAACTGTTATGCAGACTCCTGCTCTATTTGGCTCTCACAAAAATGCAACCCTTAAGACATGCTTTTTAGAGCGGCAATGAGCTCCAGTTAATGGTAATGTTCAGTGAGTGCGGCATTAATTATTAGAAATGCGTAGAAACCGTGTTGCAAATTGCACAATAAACATAGATATTGCAGCCAGAATACTATCTGCAATTTTGACTCCCCTACTGCTCACCGCTTGAGAGGTGACCCTGTAACCGATACCAGACATCCACTTGGATTGTCAGTTTTATGTTATAAGATAGAGCACAGTATTATTGTACATTATTATTCTCTTAGATTTCTTGAGCCCCCACCCCTCCCTCATCAATTTTTTGTGTCTAGAAAATGTGCATGGTGACTGGTTGACTGTAAATGAATGGGCGTGGGGCTGAACGACAACCCTCCCTCCCCCAGGTTTCTATGTTTCAGCGTACCTGACACTGAGTCCAAAGAGGCTTTCTTTTTCCAAGCCCTTAAGTAAATAAAGGGAATTCCAATTCCAATTTCAGTTTTAAAACAAAAATTCCAAATTAGATTTTTTTTTTAAACCGCCCCGAGGCCTGCTATATGAAGGAAGGTTCCTTGGCTGTCTTATTTGGTTTCCTATTATTTGTGGTGTGAATTCACACCTGTTATTCCTGTTCTTAGTCTTCCTTAGTCCGATGTGGTACTTGGGGCTTTGGGTCTGGTCCAGTTCTCTTAGTATCAGTATCTGTGGGTTTTAGTTGATTATCGCTGGTGCTTGTTATACCTTCAGCTGGTCGCTGCGCTGGTGCTCTATTGCCTGCTTGGTTAATAAAGGGAATTTTTTTTTTTTTTTTTACGTTTTAATCCGTTTTCGGTTTATGGTGAGGGGCGAACTTGCACAGTCCGCGGCAACAGCGCTTAGCCAAGCGGTTTTTAATCCTCAGGCTGAAAGATTTACCCACGCCCAATTTCCCCCGACTATACCGCAAAAGCAGTGAATACAGAAACAATGGCAATTATTTATGGTTCTTCTGCTTCTGTTTCTTCTTCGCATTCACTGTTTGTAAACACTGGGGGAAAGTTCGGGTTGTTTGTCCAACTCAGGACTTCGGTCTTATGTCCAAAACTTGAATGATGCGTGCACATCCGTTTAATAGATCTGAATTAACTTATGCAAATTGTTGGTTACTTGCCTCTCAGGCAGATGCACTCCGTCTTCGAAGAAGGCCCCTCTTAGTCGACTCTTACGACATGCTCGTTGGGGAGGCAGTGGGCCTATCCTTGTCTTTACCACAGTGAGATCCCTAAAGCAGCACTTGGGAATTCGTTTATGTTTTTTAACCTGTATTTTTACGCACTAGGCAAAACTCGTCGGCTATGTGGTTAAGTCGATGCGAATGCTTCGTAATGCAGGGATGCCGGGTTCGATCCCAGCTGCGGGCCATGCAGCTTGCGGTGGTTTCCACAGTGGTATCAAAAAATCCGACCGTCCAGTAAGCAATGTCAAACTACTGGACGTAAATTACCTAGAAAAACCACACAACAGCCAAGGGCCGTTGGGGTTGGTTCTGCAACGTCCTGTAAAGAATACGCAACAACCTTAGGCTAAACTCAAATTAGAGATTCAGTGAATATCACACCGGCCGCGTGTACTTTCCGGTACAATTGCAGGTGCCTGTTTTAGTCTGGGTCAACCAGGGAAATTAAAACATCTCGAGTATTTAATTAGACCACAGAAGTGCTAGATTTATGGCTAAGCTAAATATACTGTAGCTTAGAGCCGCATATGTTTGTTTGTTTGTGTTTACGTTTAAACAACGGATCAACATCATAGCACATGGTATCACCAATAAGTGCTCCGTTCTTTTTTTTTTATCTCAAGCCAGAGTCCGAAAAACTTAGCGCAGTGCACGAATTCCGTACAACCGGCGAGGATCCTGAAATACTTTGGGTAGATTTTTAACTCCAAATTTTGTCTGAGCAGATCCGTTAGGCTACTCTTTTCGATGTCCAACTAGCAAGGAATTCTTAACGTGCGCAATAATTCACATGACGTCCGATCTCACTATCCAGAGACCAGAGGAAATTATTAGGTGTCCATGTGATGCCTCGAGACCACGCAGTCGACGAGAGCTGCATTATCTGCAGGGGCCTAAAAAATTACCCCTCTCCCACAAATAGCGACGTCCGTGGCTTAGGCGTTGCGAGTCGTAATTCCAATGTACCGCGATCGAAACCCACTGCTGGCTGTGTGGACTTTTATCATGGTTCAGGGCGTCGCAGGTCGACCCAGCCTAAAATGGATACCAGGATGACTGTCTTGGGGAAGTAAAGACGGCCGTCGTAATACTGACCACATTACCCACCTAGTGCCGATGGTATGTAAGAATATGGCGCTCTTCCCATAAACCAGATACACCTAAGGGCGTGAAAAGGGATCTTTATTTTACTTCACTCTCCCACAAATGCAAAGGTCATTAAAATATTTTGTATGCAATTGTCTTAAAAAAAAATTATTAACAAAGCAAGTTTTCTCGAGAATGTTTCTCATTTTAATTATATTATTTTAGGTACATTATTATCGCAGGTTTTCTTTTTTTATTACAACTTGTTGTAGTCTATTTCAATTGAATAAATTAATCATCTTGATATACGTACAGCTGTAAATACTTTAATGAAGTAGTAACGAATGTTGATATTAACATCACAAATGGACTTATTTCATTATTATGTCAATCAAAATTATCCTGAAAATGAACAAATATAACAAATAAATCTGCATTAAATCATCTTTCAGGGCAAGACTTAGTTATCCCTAATGTTAAAGCAATAAAACGATTATTTATGTGTCTAATAGTAACAAAGTGTTCAGGAGGAAAATCATTTTCACAGCTAAAGAGAATCACAAATGAACAAAGGGCAGCTACGTCTCAAGAAACGTTGTCTGCGCATATACATTATGTAAGTTATACACCACCAGGACATCACAGGAAGCGATAAACACCCTGTGACAGAGAGTGCCACCATGCGGATGAGGATCACGCGGGAGAGGTCCCAGAAACTCCGTTCAACCGTTAGGCCATATTTATGGACCGGTAATATTCAGGGCACCAGGCAAAAGCCAGGGTTGGGGCTTCAAATAACGAAAATTTGCATCCCACATGGGGACGAACCATTGACTAAACTTGTCTGCACTTAGCATCATGTATGAGGAAAGCGACACCTTGCGTGGTCTAACCATTGATGACATAACAGGAAAGCCACACGTTGCGTGGTCTAACCATTGATGACATAATCAATGATTTTGTGTTGGGGAAATCAAGGGAAAAAAATGTTTTGATTTGTAAATTCGAGTCTTTTAGAGGATTACATAATATAATTTGTGGGAGTTTGCAACAATTTCGTTCATGCTTCTTAAAAAAAAAAAATAAACAATATATTTTCAGTATTCATGTATTTGAAAAGGGGGTCGCCGTGGCGTTGGCGTCTAGACCCCACCTGGGATCGGACGGTCTTGGGTTCGCGCACTGACGGAGCCGGACATTTTCTTTTTATTTCAAAAATGAACTTGATTCCCAGGTCGACCCAGCCCTGAGTGTGTACCAGGTGGAGTCAAGAGAAGTAAAGGCGGCCGGCGAAATGCTGACCACATCACCCACCAAGTGCCGACTGGTCTATAAAATTAGAGGTCTAGCCCTATATTCCCACTACGCCTAAAGGGTGGAAAATGGACCTTTTAATGTATTTAAAAAGCGTATAAACTTCAACACTTTCTGAGGTCAGTTCGAGTAACTAAACATGATAGGAGCCTCGGAGCTTTATACAGCTCAAGGCCTCATCAGATCTAAATCTGACCCTGGGTCTTATTTAAATGTAACACATTGTTAGGAACATATCGGATGTAGATGCTGTAGCCTAACATTAGATACATTGCCATACAAGTGGGAAGCTGACATCGAGAGAAGAACAAACAGCCATCAGAGTGTACAGATAGGGTGAGAGACAGGATGTTGAAGATCTGAGCTTACGAGACGGTTATCCTCTTCTGACTGCTTCATAAAATTTGGCACCCTGATACCAGAAGATCTTAATGTGGAACGCACACCAACAGGACGTGAAGATTCTAGTTGTCCAATCATTTATAAGCATTCGTCGGTGAAACTAAATCTCCGAGACCTCAAACCCCCTAGTTATGGCCCCTGGCACACCACAGGGGGTATTTATTCCCCCTAGCCCACGTGTCTCGGCAGTCTGCTGAGAAGTCACTGACCCTGCTGCTTCGAGACACCAGCTAAGTGATTTGGTGTATTTGTGTGGTATTGTTTGATTTGTGTAGGTGCTGATGAAGACCCCATAGCCGCAACGTTTATATTTTCTTTGTATTTGTTATATTGTGTAGCTTGCTAATATACTTTTCGTTCGGTTTTCTAACTTTTCAAGTATGTCTTGGCTAGTTCAGGATTTCTCCAGAATGCTTAATTCTGCGTACCATGCAAGAATTCTCCAAATCTCATTTAAGAGGTTTCTAGCTTTAAATTACAAATATTCAAACAAAGTATCTATCGTTTCTTTCTCGAAAATATGCTAAGAAAGACGACTCGAAATTTCTTATTCAAAAAAACGTAAATAAAAAAATTACAAAAGCCGTTTACATACTCTGCAATATTGATCACGGCACCGTAAAAATTCCAAAACATTAGTAACTGAATATCAGTGGTGGGAGTATAAAAGTAACTTGGCAATACGATGATTTTGGTGATAACGAACGTTAGACAAACAACCAGCAGTGTTGTGGTTGTACGTGAACCTGACGAAGATGGTTTGCCAGATGCAGCGACCATCTTCCGCCGTTTTCGTAACGTTATACTGACCTTGATGGCTATTAAAACGGATCCGGCTATGACAACTGCTAGCGGGATAAATTTACCAAATATCGAACCCACGTAATAGTCGAGTAATACATTAATCATTTCCGAACCTTTAAATGTCATTTCGCCGCCATAGGCGTTCCACTGATTGTAGAATCTGTAGTCGAATCTATACCACATTATGCCTGTGAATATTAAATAAGGCAACCAAATAGCAAAACAGCCAAAACAAACCAGCCATGCTCTAAACGGCGTGACTATGTTGATAAAATGAAGGGGAAGATACACAGCTATCAAACGCTCTGTTGTAACTACCATACACAAAGCAGCACTCACATAAATCCCGTATACACTCAAGCACCGAAACGCTACCCCAAAGACATAACATGCCAAAGACTCACTGATGGAATATTGCCAAAGAAATACCCCAAATGGAAACGTTTTAGGGAAATGCATAAGTATATAAGCAATGTTGGCAGCGCCCAGAAGACAGAGGCTGTCAGCTAAAGCTATAGCCAGAAGGAAGATGTTGGATGGTTTTCCTAGTCCACTGCGTATGAGAATGAAGGCGCTAAGTATATTTGCCACAAGACCTACCACGCCAATGCATGGGTACAGCACAACGATTGTGTACCAGTTTACTTTTGTGATAAAGCCATATAAGCGCCGGGCTTCTGCGAGAACCTGGTCGTAAAATGTATACATCGTTGTAGAATTGTATTGAAGATTTTTTGGCGTCATGTTGTATGTTGGTTCCGAAGAGGTAGTAGAAACATGACCGTCTTGCAGTACGGCAGGATCTTGATAATTGCTTTTGAGAGCAAGACATGCTTGAGTACTGGAGCTTGGACAAGCAGCTGAGAAAGTCGTGGTCATCTTGGTCAATTCTTGGCTGGTCTCAATGTCCATATCAGTGTCTGCCATGCTTGAATGACCAGCTGTTTCCCAGAAGATAAGAATACAGAGCAAAGCCGACCGTGACGCCAAGCTGGACGCCATCTTATCATGGAAACCTTAAAAACCTGTTACTTATAAATTCCTTACCTACTCACTGAATCTCACTTTCTGACCGTTTCCTTGTTGATTTTTTCCCAAATTCCTAATTAGTCGTAAGGTCTCTCTTTATGATAGATTCGTCGTTTACTTTCTTAAATTCCTTACAACTCATATAATCTTTTCATCTGATGGTTTGTTGACTTATTCTCGTAAATTCCTAACTATGTATGTGGTCTCTCTATTTAAACGATCGTTGACATATTCTAGTAAATTCCTAATTACTTATGTGGCCTTGTCTACTAGATTTGTGATTTATTCTCCTTAGTCGCATAATTTCTGTTGCTGAGGAATTATTGATAAATTTTCAGAAATTATTAATTTCATGCAGTTTGCCCTCTCTGACTGATTGCAGATGTATTCTTGAAATGTGGTCTGTCTCTTTAATGCATGCCTAATCTATTCTTTTAAATTCCTATTACTCATGCGATCCGTCTTCCTAATGGTTTAACTGATTTACTCTCCTAATTCCCAACTACTCGCATGGTCTGCCTCTTTGATGGATTCTGATTTTTCTTGTAAATGTCTGTCTCAAACGCAGCCGAGTTGTCACCACGTGATAGAGCAACATATCCTCAGATATTTATTCCAAATAGTAGACTAGTTTACACAGACAATTTTCTAATTTCCTGCCATTACTTTTACATCGTAGATTACATTTGTTTACAATTTCTTGTGCCTAGTTCCGTCTTTATGAATAATTCACTGTTATACTGTCCATTTTTTTTTTCAAGTTCAACGTTTACTTTTTAAACACATCAGCTTATACAGAAAGCACATATGTGATTTTTTCACTTTTGTCGAATTTGACTGTAGGAGCTCCGACTTGATCGTAAACAAGATTTTATTTATTTTCGCTACTACAAATTTGTAACGAAATATTCAAGTTATATGAGTTCAACTTTCTTGTTATACCAGACAAGCTTTCTGACACTTCATTTAACAACGTATTTCATTCCTCACTATGGCCCAGAAAGGTGCAGATGTGCAAGAAATATCACACTAAAATTTTCCATAAACCCTTTTATAGGTGAAAGTATAAACGCAACTTAAGACGTATTGGGACCATTCAAATATATCGTGCCAGTGAGAAATATCAAATCTGTCATTTTCACACAAGACCAAGTGCGATAATTCAGGTAGACGCTGTTAAACAACACTGTGCATTTTACAATGTAATTCTTCCTATTTGAAAAAGAATTCTTCTAAAATATAATTAAACAATTTAGGCACCATCTTTTCCAAGTTCCGGACTGTTTATGATGACAAAAGATACGAGCCATTACCAGAAACCATTGATCCGGTGACAAAAATAACAAGTGAATTCTATTATTCGACTGCTGACAAATATGCAAGGACACGGTTGTACAAAGTGTCGACATTCTGTCGTATTTACACCGATTACTCACAGGAAACGTTGGGCCTAACTTCCAATTTAGTTTATTCAAACTCTCGACCCCGGTGTATATCTACAATCAGTCAGTTAAAGAGTACATGTCTGCAACCCTCAGTATTTTTAGAGAAATTTGTGGAAATGCGATCTTTTCTAAAGCCACCATAATTATTTTAAGGAGGCCAATCGCTACTTCGATAATGCAATATTTCTGTAATTATACTTGGTATAATTCTCTTGTAGTAAAACTGCTAAATATATTTTCACACGAAGCTGTGGCGTTTGTAAAATAGTAAATTATATTTATGCAAGCCATTTAGTGGGATTGCCTGCACTTGCTGGAGAAATTGTATTCACTTAAGTTGGCGAGCGCTTAAAAGCTGGCCAAACATTTAAAAGCTCAAACTGGCAAATCTGTGTGATTAATGGATGAAGGAAAATGATGTTTAAACAGTATAATGTCATTAGACAACATTAAGTACATACATTTTGGTAAAACGAATTTTATGAAGCTTAGGTAAACTTTGTAAAATGGAATATGTAAAGAAATGATGTTTATATCTCCCTCTTTCTCGTCGATATCATAAAGTTGCTGATGTTCTAATGTTTTAATCTTAGAGACACTGTGGTTACTCCGGCAACCATTGTTTGGAAAGTAGTGATAGCCACATAAAACACTACACCTTCCCGATAGACAATTGTCAATATTCACAGTTAAAAAATCTTAAAGCCTTTTTTTCTTAAGATTATAGAACAAAGGCGTGTCCTCCTGTAAATTCTATTATAAATACAGCTGATAAAAAACACAATTATTCTCGCTTAGATCAAATTATAGGACATTTTACTCTCTTTTGAAACTCATAAGGCGATTCTCGGTAAGATCACATGTGTGAATACTATATTCTAATTATGTGAACTACTGTATGTTACACGTCTTAGTTAAATACCAGGAGTGAATTCAGAGACATGAATTATATTTGCTGTTGATTATTTAGTGCCCACAAAGGTCTTTACGTGTTAAACCGATCAGCCAATGATTTCACGTTGTTAAGCATAAATTGTATATAAAATAACCGCTCTCTAGGTTAGACCTTCTTGATCTTCTTCTTTATCTCCAGTGCCTGTACTGTCTTTCAGTGTCAGGCTTAGCTGCGTAATTTGGTGCCAGTCTTGTTGTGTGCTACTGTAGATGGTGGTATTCACGGCCTTGCCATTTTATCTATCCATCGCTTGTGTGGTTGTCCTCTAGAATGCTTTCGGTGTGTATATGACAGGGCTCTCTAAGTGCACCATTTAGTTGTTGATATAACACATGTCGCAACCATTTGACCTGCTGTCTCTTGTTCTAGTTTATCACCAATCCCACCCAGCTTGTTTTCTGATTCAGTCTCTTGGGGTATTCAGGTATCGTGGTAGACAGGTCGTTTTCACAGTTTCTAATTGTCGGTTTTCTTTTGTTGTCCAGATCCACGTTTGGCACTGGTTACATATTTTTTTTTTATATGGGAAACTCTTTTGGTGTTCATTTTTACATGTTAATCCTGGAATATTATGCAATACAACAACCCTTAATTTTGAATATCATTGACTTTAAAAAGGCTTTTGATAGTTTACATAGACAATCGCTATTGATATTTTTAGAATGCTATGGTATACCAGTATGGCGTCCGTGGCTGAGGCGTTGCGAGTCCGACTCGTAATCCAGCGTACCACTGCGGACTTCGCAGGTCGACCCAGCCTCAAATGGGTACCAGGATGGCTGACATGGGGGAAGTAAAGGCGGCCGGCGTAATGCTGAACCACATTACCCACCGAGTGCCGATTGGTCTGTAAAAATATGGGCGCTCTTCCGATATGCCCGATGCGCCTAAAGGCGTGAAAAGGGATCTTTACTTTTACCAACTTTTATGGTATACCAGTGAAAATAGTAACTATTATTCAGCAGTGTGTGAACGGTTCAGAGTGTGCATTGCTAACAGGCTATGGTTTAAGTGATTGGTTTGGAGTTGATACTGGCGCGAAACAAGGATGCATTTGATCTCCTCTGTTATAGGCTTGCAGATGTAAAAATGTTGTATTGGAAAGAAAATTAACTAGGTGGAGAACACACCGTTGGAAGATCTTGATTTTGCTTACAACATTGTTCTTTAAAGTAAAAACAGCAATGAAGTAGACAGGAAAACACATGATTTTGCAAATATAGTATCAATTGTTGGACTAGCAAAAAGTTATGAACAGACAAATATATTAAAGGTACCAACAACAGATCAGCCAGACGTGACACTAGGTACAAAAGTAATAAAAGTGTCAGATCAATTTACTTATTTAGATAATAATTTTTATAGTGAAAGAAATACAAAGAAAAAAATTATGACACGCATTGATAAAGGCATCGGCGGCTTTTAATAGCTACAACTAAATATGGCACTCTAAATTGTAAAGATTGAAAAAAAAAAACCAAGTTGCGTATTTTCAGTTATAATATTACTTCATTTTTAGCAGATGCAAGTGAAACTTGGGTAACCATATAAGACATGCAACGAAAGTTGAATGCATTTGAATACAAATATCTGAGGAAGAAGATGGAAATAAAATGGGTTACATAAAAAAAAAAAAAAAAACAAAGAGTGGAGAAATACGAGAAATGTCAGGGCAGCCTCTAGTATCAACAGTTATAGGACAGAGAAGATGGCGCTACATTGGACACATCTCGAGAAGAAAACCATCAGAGAATCGCCAAACTGGCATTACAATGGGAAATAAAGGGATTTTTTTTTTCTTTAACGTGTTCAGAAACCATGAGTTGTAAACCCTTTGGCTCGGTACTATGGATATCGTAACCCTTCGGCATTGATTCCATTATAGGTACCGTTAATCTGGGAGAAATGTGGTTTTTCTGCCTACCCCCGGGAGTGAACCCGGACCACAAGGAGTTCGTCACCCGGCCGCCGCGAAAGTCAGGTTTAACCAACTTCGCTAGAGAGCCGGGCAAAATAAAGGGATAAAGGAGGCAGGTACGCTAAAAAGAAACCCAAAGAAGAACGTTGACGAGAGAGGCCAAAGCTGCTGGACTAGGTTCTATCCATGATATTAAAACGATGGTACAGGATAGAAAAGAATGTAGGAATAGACTGCTAGCCATGTATGACATATAATGAATGACACAATAGGAAAATGAATGAAAGCAATAATTCTGCACTATTGATGACATATTTAGTAGACAGTTATTTTAGTTGATTTATTACACCTGCGTTCTATTCCTGTTTTAATTTGTTTATGTTATGATAATATTATGTTTCTTACAAAAATGTCAGCTTTTTTTTTTTCAAGTGGAAACATCTACAATATATGAATGGGTCCTGTTTCTAAATCACTTTATAGTTATTTAAGTATAATATTTTTACATGAGTAGTTAAAAAGTTAGTTGCGA